GCTGGCGTCGAGGATCTACAAGTCAAGCCGTATGATAAGGACGCACGATAAGGATGCGCAAGGGCCTTGGAAGGCCATCTCGAGGCTTTTCGAGCGGGGCACGGCCAGCGACAGTGGCCAAAGATGGGCCGACGGGGCAAGGATGCAAGGGTACCCTTGGGGAAGATGCCCATCCTTATGATGCGGGTTGACTGTACCGACCCGGGTCAATCCAAACCCGGGCCACTCGGGCTTCGCAGAATCCTGCAAGAGCCTGCAAGGCCCTGAGCACTTAGCCCGGGGCCATGCGACCCTGGCTTTGCAGAATCCTGCAAGCTCTGGCGCTCTGGCTGACCCCGGCTTGCATTGACCCCCGTCCCAAGGCTCCCGATGCTGGTCGAGCCTGTGTGCAGGACCGGTCTGAATGACCACAATGTGAGCCTAAAAATCCTGGCCACGATTTTTATGTTGCATCTTCGGAAGGCCTTGTCTGTGCTGCAGCTTCTGGAAAGCATCCCCAAGCGAGATCACCTCCAAGAGCGGACGGGAACGCTCCGAAACTCCCAAAAACCGACTCCCACGGAATTACGCGTTCGGTCGTGGACCTCTCGTCACGCATCTTGGCCTCTGAAGACCGCCGAAGGACCGCCGTGAACCGCCAGCGGGCGCGCCCCCGGCCACGGGCGTTGGGGCCCGACGCAGTCTTCGGCGGTCTCTCGGCGGTCTCTCGACGGTCTTCGGCGGCCTTCGGCGGCCTTCGCTGGTCTTTCGGCGGTCTTCGGCGGTCTGGACGGCGGACCGACACGGTCTTCGGCGGTCTTCGGTGTGAAAGCAGGATATCCCATGTTAACAAAGGGGCCCATGATCGAACACGTAAATAGCGGAATGAATAATGACATAAACATAAAGATTCGGAGGCCCGCGCGGATTTCTCGGATCGGCGCTGGACCCCCCTCCATGGCGCGCGGAGCGCGCCAGGGGCGGCGCCGGAGGCGCCGCCAAGGGGGTCCAGCGCGGGCCTTGCATCTCTAGACGAGGTCCCAGCGCCGATCCGAGAAATCCGCGCGGACCTCAGAGTTTTTATGTTTGTGTCATTCTTCGTTCCCCTACTCCGAGCTTCTTAATAAGAATGGGGTGGGCATCACCCCTGCCGACAGTCCCGCATCGACCCCCGTCGCGGGCAGCCACCGCGCGCCGAAGGCGCTCCGACCTCCGTCGCGGCGCGACGCCGAGGCGAGGTTGACCCCCGTGTGAGGGGTACCCCCCCACACGCTTATCGGGGGCGGCCAAGAGGGGGGTGTCCCAAGAGGGGGGGGGCGCAAATCATGGCCGGCGGCATGTGCGCGGCCCAGAGGGGGCCAGGGACGCATTGACATAAGAAGAGGCGCCATAACATCTGGGGAGATATCATTGCCCCGCCATGATGATATCCCCCCCCTGTCGTCACCCCTCCCCGCTTCCCAGAGTAGTAAAGGTAACAGGGGATATGTCGACCCCTATCCCAGGCTTCGTGGGGTTTCCGACTGAACCAGAAATTTGGGGCCCAACCCTGGGATATACAATGGGGGGGTGTCCATCCTCCATAGGGGTGCGTCCGAATAGCCCTCTTGGGGTGAATCCCAGGGTCTTTCCATGCTGCCGAGCGGCCAAACTTTTCGGGCGAAGCTCGGGGATTGGGGGAGAAACATCGCCCGCGAAAAGGGAGGCGCGCCTCGTCCACGCTCAGCAGCGGCTCCATCGGCGGCGTGGCGGTGGAGCCTCGGCTGCCCTTCCGGACCTCCGCGGCGGCCGCGCCGCCCGGCTTGCGGAGGTCGGCGGGCTCGGGCGGGTCCGCGAACGCCTACGGGGGCGGGGGAGGAGGAGGAGGAGGAGGAGGAGGAGGAGGAGGAGGAGGAGGAGGAGGAGGAGGAGGAGGAGGAGGAGGAGGAGGAGGAGGAGGAGGAGGAGGAGGAGGAGGAGGAGGAGGAGGAGGAGGAGGAGGAGGAGGAGGAGGAGGAGGAGGAGGAGGAGGAGGAGGAGGAGGAGGAGGAGGAGGAGGAGGGGAAGAGGAGGAGGAGGAGGAGGGGAGAAGGAGGAGGACGAGAGAAGGAGGAAGAGGAGGAGGGGGACGAGGAGGAGGAAGAGGAGGACGAGGAGGCCGGGACGAGGAGGACGAGGAGGAAAGCGGGATGAGGAGGAGGAGGAGGAGGACGGGAGGAGGACGAGGAGGAGGGGGAGGAACGGCACTGGCCAACGAGGGAAGGAGGACGATCCGCGAACAGAACACCGAAAGCAACAACAAGCGGGAAAATGGAGAGGGCGGGCCTTCAAGAGGGCAGTCCCGACAGCGCACAGCGCACAGCGCACAGGGAGAGGGAGAGAAGATGAGGACAAGCTAGGTCCGCTCGCGCCATATCTAACATCCTTCCCTGTCCCATTGCGCTGATTGTTTCTCTATCCGCGGACGGGTGACATAGCGGACCTGGAACCCCCAAAAGGACCCCATCGTGGTATGCACAATATGAAAGAAGAGCTGTGCGATTTTTGGTGGAGGTGGCAGATGCGCAGCGCTATGAGCCAGAAGGGAGAAAAATCCAGATCTCCGACGATATGTGATTTTCAATCCGAACGTGTTTCCTCATTTTCACCCGTCAGTGGACGTTTTCGGGCCCCAGAAAAATCAGAAATGAATCAAGGACGAAAAACTACCCCTGGAGAAGTGGTCGTGACCTCTGGGGAAGAAGGGATGAGGAGAAGGAAGAGGCAGGAGGAGCAGGGAGGGAGAGAGGATGAGGAGGAAGCGGGGGGCCCTAACAGACTTGCGTCGTGAACAAAAACCACGACGTCAAGATTTGCCTCGGCCCTTGAACCGAAATCTGTCCTGGCGAAGAACTTCGCCTACCGCAAGGCAGACGGGGCGCAGGAGAGGGAGCGAGTTCCCAATGGGACCACGAGGCGTACGAGGGGTGTGCTATCGACGTGGTGCTATATATATATATATAAGTGTGGTGCAATCGACGTGGTGCAATTCACTTGCGGAACTCGCCGTTATCAACTCCACTGCTCGCGCAATCATCCCACCCGCCCGCCAGCACTTCGTCCTGCAAAGCACGAGCGGCGGCGATGGCCGTGAGTGCCTGGTGTTGGCCGGTGCATCTCTGCGACCGCGCCAACCCGCGCATGCACTTGCGCGCGGCGGCCAGCCATTTGGTCGCGACCGACGCGGCCGCGGTGGCGCTGACCGCTGGGCACATCCCAACGGGCATTTCAATGCGAGTCGGCGACTTGGGCGGGCGCGGAATCATGGCAACGTCGACAACTGTGGACAGGATGATGGTACCAGCGATGATGGTGACGATGCTGACAACGATGACGGCACGGCCAATGACGGCACCGATGCTGATCACGCCGACGACGATGACGGCATCCTCGCATCGGTGATGAAGGTTTGGGAAGAGAATTCGACATGCGCGTGCGGCCGACGCGCGAGTGGCCTGCATGATATTATTTGACACGGATCGTGCCCCCCCCAGCACGCACGCAAGGGCGTTCGGATCATGTCGGCATGCGGCGCGAGAGGCCCGTTTGCCAGAAATCCATATACATGTTGAAAACGAACGGCTTCCTTAAGAAATCGCAAGATTGCGAGCGCAAGCTTGTTTGAAAACTCATGTTGCGAAACCATGTGTTTTGTATATGGTTGCGTTACACTCGGTTTTGAAATATTTGACGAACCGAACGCTTTTTACTGCTTTCGGCACGCGCGCGCGACGACGCGCGCGTGTCTACTGCATCCTATGGTTTGCAAAGGGTTCTTGCGACAGCACGTGCGCAGGGGCGTTCGCACGAGTTCGACATGCACGCGCGAAGCCCCGTTTGGTAGCATTTTATGAGCATGTTGAACAACATATGGCTTCCTTAAGACTTCGCAAGAGCGCGAGCGCAAGCTTTGTTTGAAAACCCTGGTCGCGGAACCATGTTTCTTTTGCCACTGTTCTTTGGACACTCCATTTTGAAATCCTTGGCAAACCGAACATGTTTCAACGATTTCGACGTGCGCGCTCGACGACGCGCGCGTGTGCAATTCATCAAATTCATTTGTAAGGGATGATTGGGAACTGCTGATTTTTGAAAGGCGGGTGTGCGAGCAAAGTATGTTTGCAGAGGATGACGGGGGAGTCCACACCGGCTGGGCTGGGACTGTACGAGCTCATACTTAAGATGGACGGAGGAGCAGAAAAATCTGCACTTTGCAATACGAAAAGGGGGGACCGATCATCCAGGGGAGGTCGAATCTATTTTTTTGTTAGAAAGGAAAATCTAAGGCAGTGACGAGGCGGCGACGGCGGCCACATAGCCGCCAGACCGAAGTCACGACCCAGACGACAGGCGGCGACGAGGCAGCGACGGGGCGGCGACGGCGGCCACCTGGCTGCCAGACCGAAGACACGCTCCAGTTCCATTGGACAGAAATGAGAATCCCTAAGTACCAGCACTGCTTGTGGGGAGTCTCGCTGCAAACGCATCATGCTAGAATTCGGGGGCGGCCAGGAGGGGGGCGTCCAAGAGGGGGGGGGTGCAAACCATGACTGGCGGCATGTGCGCGGCCCAGGGGGGGGGAGCCAGGGACGTAATGAAAGAACAAGAGGCGCCATGAAATCTGAGGAAATATCATGGCCCACGCCATGATATCCACCCCCTCCTAGTCATCACCACCCTCTCCGCCCCCGAAGAATGCGAGAAGGTCTACGTGCTGACGTCGTCGGTGCTGCTTGCAAAAAGGCGCGAGCGGGGAACACCCGTAGGGGGCCCAGATCTGGCCGAAGAGTGTGCAGTCGTCTCGAGCGCCGACCTCAGCATCCCCAGTAGCTCAAGTCGACCGAACATTCGATTGGCGCATGTAGTTGTGTAGATGTATATGCATATATATATATATATATATGTACACGTGTGTATGTATGTATGCCCATATATATATATATAAATGTATATGTGTGTGTATGTAGATGCTTGTATGTGTATAATTGTCTAAACGAAATTATAAGTCTAGCATCACACAGCACGTAACACATATATATATGTATATAGATATGAATATCTATTCCACCACAGCTCACTCACAGCACACATAATCCTCCCCCTTGTTCCCCTCCCTGAGGGAGGAAGGCGTACGGGGGGGGCGGCAGTTACGGGGGGAGGTAGGGGTGGGTCCTGGGTCAGACCACAGAGATTGCATCACACATGTTGCGCATCCAGGAAGCAGTGGCGCACTGTTCGAATTCCACGCTAATAAACATAACAAGAAACGTGATCAAGCAGACTGGGAAAGAAGTTGGTTGAAACTGTGCGACCTGGACTGATCGGGGGGGGCTTGAGTTAAGCACCGAGCCAATGACGATGGCGGTGATTACGGATGAACGGAGATGACCGTCGAGGGTGACTCTCCGATGTGTCGCAGGTCTCTCGCGCGCACCGTCCAGACATCCAGCGCAAGCTGCCGCCGCCGTTCGTGACAAAGGTCAGCGAGAAACAGAATTCCCTGCGTATCCTAGCGGTCCAAGAACAATGCAACGTAAACTTGTCCGCCATCGGGGACGCCTGTCCCAAAGTGGCTTGGCAATTTTGTGACCCCACCAACCACTTGAGGAATGCTAATCTCCCAACCGCCCTGGGACAAACGTCCGCGATCGCGGAACATGTCACGTTATACTTACGTCGGGCATGTCCCCCTACAGCCAGATTTTGCACGACAGATAGGAACCAACAATTCAAAACATGTTCAAAACATACTGACAAACATAGTCCTCTGACTATTTGTTGACTAGAACCGCCCTGACATTGAATATTCCTCCTGTGCAGGGACACGCCCGACTTAATGTTATACCGCTATTCGTTCTCTAAGCGTCTGGCGCGCGGCAGCTATGTACGGGGCGCGCACCCTGCACGGGGCGCGCACCTATGGGACACGCCCCGCCAAGGGCACCTTTCCTGCGCGGTCGCACCAGGAGGGCTCCGCGTCGAGCACCGGCCGCTCCCGCGACCAAGCCGACCGACGAGCGCAGACCCGAAGGATCCGGCTCAGCGCGGCGCCTCCTCCCACTCAGCCGCTCGCGCGCTCCGAGTGCTCTGACTTGGCGGCGCGCGCAGTGGGGTCGGAGGAGGGGGGTGGGGAAGGCTTTTTCGCGGGAGGCTGCTTCTTCGAGGGCGCGGGCCTTGCATCTCCGGACGAGGCACGCGCCTTCCAAGAAGCAGCCTCGCTCCAAGAATAGGGGAACGAACAATGACATAAACATAAAAACTCAAAGGTCCGCGCGGATTTCTGGGCGGCGCTGGAGGCGCCGCCAGGGGGCCCCAGCGTCGATCCGAGAAATCCGCGCGGACCTCCAAGTTTTCATGTTTATTATGTCATGGTTCGCTCCCCGAGAGAAGCCTTCCCCCCTCCCCCTACCCCCCTCTGCGCGTAGCCGACTGGCGTTCGCTCGGGCGTGTCCCCCATACAGGGGGATTTTGGGCGAGAAAGATGCCAGAAATATATTCAAAAAAACACACACCATACATAATCCCCCACCTTTCCTCCTGCAGAGGGACAGGCCCGACGTAAGACTGGCGCCCGCCGATCTGCCTTTGCCAGCCCGCGGCCCCCCAAAAAAGGCCCCGACCGCTCCCCCAGTCCTCCTCCCCCTCCTCCTCCTCCTCCTCCTCCTCCTCCTCCTCCTCCTCCTCCTCCTCCTCCTCCTCCTCCTCTCCTCCTCCTCCTCCTCCTCCTCCTCCTCCTCCTCCTCCTCCTCCTCCTCCTCCTCCTCCTCCTCCTCCTCCTCCTCCTCCTCCAGGGCGGCCCCGACCGCTCCCCCAGTTGCGGGGGCGGGCGGCCGCTCGCCCTGGCCGCGTGGCGCACGGCCGGGGGGCTCGAAGGCGGGCCCCCAGCCTTCGCAGGGTCGGGGGCGGCGACAGACCGCCAGGACTGGGGTCGGGAAGGCGTCACCTTCGACGGTGGATGCAGCAGGATCAAGTCGGGCGTGTCCCCCTACAGGGGGATTCTGGAGGAAAAATTTAAAATACCTCCAACATGCCCCCAAACATGCTCCATTCCCCCGACCTCCAACATGCCCCCAAACATGCTCCATTCCCCTGCCAGGACTGGGTTCGGGAAGGCGTCACACTCGACGGCGGATACAGCAGGATCAAGTCGGGCGTGTCCCCCTACAGGGGGATTCGGGAGGAATTTCTGAATTCCCCCCTGTAGAATTTCTGAATTTCCCCCCTGTAGAGGGACAGGCCCGACTTAACAGTAGGAGCTCGACCACAAGAAACCTTCCACAAGAAACCCAACCCTGAGGCCCCAGGACGTCCGTCGATCTTTGGCGCGGGAACGTCGCGCTTTCCATAGCAGAGCCATCGAAACCCAAGAAACCCAGGGCACCCTGGAGGCACGCAAAGTGTTTCTTGGCGTGGGTTCCCACTGTATGTCGACCCCTATCCCAGGCTCAGTGGGGATTTCGAATGGACCAGGAATCTGGGGCCCAACCCTGGGATATACGAGGGGGCGGGTGTCCATCCTCGACATGGGTGCGTCCGAATAGCCCCCTGAGGGTGTATCCCAAAGTTCCCCCCTTTTCGGAGCGGCCAAACTTTTGGGCGGAGCTCGGGGATTGGGGGAGAAACATCGGCTGCGAGTATCGAGCGTTGGGATTAGGAAGTGATTACCCTCGAGGAGTCGAAGAGAAAACGCACCGCCGGAGATCATGGTATGCGTTATGAAAACAACACTACAACATCGCGAAAATCACGACCAGAGCCCTAGACCCTGTCTTTCTGCATCATGTCTTAAATCGGATCGATCTGTGAGGGTACGGGGGCCCAACACCAGGTGAAAACGCCCAGTGCAAAACAAATTCAAGGTTGGATTCCAACGCTGGTCTGATACTATGGAAGGGGGTCATGAGGCAAACGTGGAAACACACAGATTCCGCCTATCTGTGCATGCGGGGTCTAACGAAAACGGGCGGCATCAACACCTTGCACCGCAAAGCCTGGACCTCAGGGCCCGATCCGCTGCCCCCGTGGCTTGCAAGGCCACAGCTCGGCTCTCCGGCGGCCGCTCGGGGCGAGCCAGGCACAGCCTGGGACGCCCTCGGCGAGGCGCAGCTGCTGGCGCGCCTCCCGAGGCTGGAGCCCCGCGAGGGGCCGACGACGTCTGGCAGAGACCAGGTCGTCGTGCGACGCCGGGATCGCAGGGCCTCTCGTTGCAGCGCCCAGATTTGACGGCTGGCCCTGGGTCGGTCGTGTCCCCCTACAGGCGGGCTTTGGACGACCACAAGGAACATAGTGAAACAATACCCAAAACAGGTGTGTGTGTGTGTATGTACAAGTGGCACGTGTGTGCCCAGGCTCCTACAAAAAAACTGAAGGGGCGCTTGAAGGAGTGAAATGCAACAGCGAAGTCGCACTCGAGCGCAAGTGGGGTTGCCACACCTTGCGATGTGTGTGTGTGCCAGGGCCCCCCAGGAAGCCTCAGGAGGCCCGACTTGGATACCAGAAGAGGCTCTAGGAGGCCCCAGGATTGTGAGTGTTGTGTGCGTGCGTGTGTGTGTGTGTGTGTGTGTGTGTGATGTGTGTGCTCGTGCGTGTTTTTTTGTGCGTTGTAGGTGTTGTGTGTGTGTGTGTGTGTGTGTTATGTTTGTCTAGCGTGTGATGTGTTGGGCGTGATTTGTGTCTCTGTGTGTGCATGTAGTTCTGAGGCCCCAGGAGGCCCCAGGAGGCCCCAGGCGGCCTCAGGATGCCCCAGGAGACCCCAGGAGGCTTCAGGAGGCCCCAAGAGGCTCCAGGAGGCCGCAGGAGGCCCCAGGAGGTTTCAGGAGGCCCCCAGGAGGCTCCGAGGCGGGGTCTGGGGTAACAGAAGGTTCAGAAAGCCCCAGGAGGCCCCAGGAGGTTCCAGGAGGCCCCCAGGAGGCTCCGAGGCGGGGTCTGGGGTGCCAGAGGGTACGTCGGGGCTCGAATTTGGGAGGATGGTTCAGGCGAAACCGCCATTCTCTGAGAATCGGTGTCAAACGTATTGAATTTACAATGTGTTTTTGGAGGTTTTATGTTAACATGTTGAAATACCCATGTGTTTTTGGACCCTGACGTCACGATCTGCGTGAGGGGTGCCACCGATTTTCAGAATTTCGAGGATGTCCATAGCGAAACGGCCAGAAACATCGCGAACGCCCCGCGTACGCATTAATCGCCTCTGAGCTCTCCACTCCCTCGCAGAGGTGCGTATGAATATATATATATATATATATATATAGATATATATATATATATATATATATATCAAAAATTTGACCCCAGACTATTCTTTTGACTAGTTTGGAATGTCCCCCCTGTAGAGGGGCAGGCCCGACGTGAGGCTGGCCCCGCCCCTCCGCAGGGCGGCCCGCCACGGCCTCCTCGCGACAGCAGCCCCATCCCCAGCCTCCGCGCAGGGCCCCGCGGCTACGGCAGGGCACAGCACGCGGCCAGCGCGCAGGCCTGCCGCGACAGGTGCTCGTTGCGCGCGCGCGGGGCCGTGCCGTTGCGCTGGGACAGGAGGGTCGGGGAACAAAACGTCACGGCAGGATGAGGTCGGGCGCGCCCCCCCACAGGGGGGATTTGACGAAGAAAAACAACACATATCCCCAGCATCTTCAAAAATATGCAGAAATGGTTGAAACATCGTCCCCAGACTATATTCTGACTATTTCTCCACAGTCATAGGGGGCCCTAGCGGATTCATATGGTTAGGTTAGGTTTGCCGCCGATTTTCCCCGCACGCCCGGGTGCCCGGGTGCCCGGGGGTGCCCACCTGAAGGCCCTCGGTCTTACTAATTGTTAGCAGCACATGTAAGTAGGTTATAAGTAAGTTGCAACTAGGTTGCAAGTAAGTTATAACCATTAGTAATGTTACTAAGTCGGCTAACTCGGGCGGTGCGTTTGGAGGTAGATAGCTTGAGTTAGCGAAGTTGCTAACTTCGCTAACTTTTACATGCTTACTTGAAAACAGAGCTGCTGCATCGGGTTGTCCTTGGATGTTGCCTCCAGAAACGCATGCATGTGTTTGGATTTTCGGGATCACGCATATCGGAAATCATGATCCAGACTTGCGTGCGAACGCAGTCAGAATATTGTATCGAGCGTTACAAGAATGTTGTGCATTGCAAATGCAACATATCATTTCGAATTCGCAACCCTCTGTTGCACATGTTTTTGAATGTCACTAGAGTTTGGGCTCCAGCCGTTTGGGCGAGGATTGCTGCTGGCGCTTGTGGCGTCCTCTTGCACGCGGCGTGATGAACGCCTCCCGTGAACAGCAGATCGCGGAGGTCCGCCCCAAGATGATGGCCATCAAGGACATGTACTTGCATCCTGATGCAGCGGTGGTCTCATTACTTGAAGACGTATGCAGCATTGCAAGAGGCATAGACTGCCTGAGGGTAGAAACAAATACACTCGAAGTATATGATGGTGTGCACAGAGAATCGTTACGGAGATGGAATCATTCCGAGCGAGGTTATGGATTTGATTTCCAAGATCTTCAAAAATGGATTCAAGAACTCAGCCCTCCAGGATCCAGCTTGCATGGAACTTCCACCAGTGGGCACGCCTGAGTACAATGCAATCAAGAACTTCAATTTCAAAATAATGGAGGACTCAGCGGGCCAGCTGCCGCAGTATGATTGCGATGCAAAGTTCGCATCCTATACGTGCGGCCACACATCCATGGGTTTGCGCTGCATCAACGCAGGGGTTCCAGTACCCACGGTCATGCCAGAGCGCTTCGACAGAATCTCGCACCAAGGGGAATTGTCACTGACGAGGTTACGGGAGGTTCAACCAGACTACGCTAAGGCGTGTGACGAAGGAATTGAGTGGAAGGTCTTCCGGTACGAGTTCGTGAAGGAGTTCCCGTGGATTAGTAATCTTGCTCAGGAGGCTGGCAATGCAGGCCAACAAATTGCCAGATGCGAATCTCGCATGAGTCTCATGTACAAGATCGCAGCAATTGCCAACCGACACCACACGGGTGGCACCATGATCGATTGGGATAGTGTGATCCGCGAGGCGACTCGCGCAGGCTCTCTCTTTCCTGGGGAGATCGATGGCTTAGTAAAATATGCGAAGGAGTTGTCTGGCGGCCTCGGCAACCCGATCTTTCTGAACGAGCTTCGCGACTTCTCGCGGCAGCTGACCTCCCAGTGCGTGGTCACGGGTTCAATGGCGAAGTCTCTCGCCGAGGTGCAGATCAAGCATGAGGGGGCCGCTGCGACATTCAAGCTCGCATGCATGAAGGCGATGACATGTGCGACGGGTAAGTTCGCGAGGGATGGCCATCAGATGCTTTTGAAGCCAGGCGACGTGACCGCCTTGTCGAGCGATAAGAAGTCTACGATTGTAATGGTGGCCGATGAATTTCTTCAGAAAGTGCGACAGATCGCATGCGGTGAGGGCATCACGGCAGACACGGTCGCCTACGGCACCATCGTGGGATTGACTGACGTTCGCGTAGTTCATTTCGTGTTCAACAAGCCCGATGAGCGCTTAGGAACTTGCAAGACGCTGAATGACATCGGGGTCAGCTTCACCACTGCGTTGGCAACGCACGTTGGCAAAGCAGTTGCTAGCCCATGGAAGCAGATCGGTCGCGAGGGCGCATCCAAAGCCGTGACAGGGCAGGCGCGTAGCTCAGATGTGAAAGAGCACACCGCTTCGGGCAAGTGGTCGAACCAAGTGGACAAGCTCAGTGACAAGGGGTTTGAGGTTGGCGCCCAAGTCGCCTTGGCGAGCGACACCTTGGGTGAGAACATTTACGAGCTGATCTCCATCGACGCTGCGACTGGCGTGAAGTTGAAGCTTCAGGCCACGGGCAGTGCGACATGCCACCCCATCGACGACTTCATACGTGGCAAGTTCGTCGTGTCCACGATTATGAAGGACAGTCTTGCGACCTCGTCGCAATGCATGTGGAATGCATATACACCCCCACACCTTTGAATTCTCGTTCGTCGTTCCCTCATCTCATTTGGCTCTGCGTCGGCATGTCTCATCTTTTTTTTCCCGCTGCCCCCCCATAGAGGAAACGATCGACAAGGTCGCTGATCATGGCCCCCTCAAGTCTGTCGATTACCAGTGGGGTATCGAGGAGGCCAAAATCAGGCTGGCCTTGGAAGATGTATACAGCCAGAACGGCAACTGTCTCAAGTACTTGAGTGGCGTGATTACGCCTGTTAAGCTTCGTGCTCTCACCGTAACGCGTTCGTTTGAGGCTGAAGAGCTGGTGCTTGTCCCACTCTCTTCGGCAATCTACTTGAAGAAGCAGACTGATATAGTTCAGTGTGGGCATGTGTTCATGAAGACATACAAGGACCCCAAGGGATTGACGTTCAATATCGTGTTGGCCCCCAGTGGTGGCATCAAGATGCCTAAGGCTGAGACGAACACTGGCGTTGGGGGGCTGAAGCAGGCACCGTCTTCGCTCGTCATCCCCTTCTGGCTCGCACAGGATTCAGGTGAGCACGACACCCCCAACATGAAGCCCAATACCGTCAAGTCTACAGCTGCCCCATCAGTGCATGTACCAATTTTGACAAACAAGTGCGCCATCAACAAGGGCGATGTCCTTAGCGCCCAGCTGGCATCGCTCATGCCCAAGCGCAAGGTAGACGATGTGCCTGCTGCGCCCGCGGCTAAGAAGGCCAGGAAGCGATGAGGCTCGCGTGTTGGCAGCATCGGTTGCACATACCATGTGTCGTGGGGAGTGTTTATGAAATGTATGAAGGCATCGTCGGTATCGTTCCTCTGCAATCGTTGCATCATTGCGTCAACACGCATCGGACTCGTCTGCAATTGTCCATTGCATCGGCCCGCAGGCGTTTGGCTGTGTCCAAGCGAGTGCACGCTGCATCTGCGCACGCACTGCAGCTGCAGATGGCAGTGAGCGTGCAGCTCCGCACGGTCATCGAGGGGGGCGGCCTTAAGGATCGCGAGCCATGGGCCCCGAGGGCGGTGATGCATACGGCAGGGGGGCTCTTCGTGGAGCTGTCGAGAGCGGATAGGCAGCTACAAAAATAATATATGTGCCCAACCCCGCCAAGAGTCAATCGCCTCTGGCGACAAATTCGTTTTTCGATCAGATCTGGAAGATGCGCAACGCCGCTTGCACCGAGGCCATTTGGGACCACTTGAAGCAGGCCGACCCATTGCTTCAGCAAGATTGCGACAGGGCCAGCGTCATTAAGAACAATAAGAGTTCTCTGGGTATGTCGCAATCGTGGACGCTTCGCGCATTCCCACCAGGGGAGGAGGAAGGAGAGGAGGAGGATGATACATTGGATGATGAGGTGGAGTGGCGGGGGAGGGGGGCGAGGAGGAGGGGCCGAAACAGAGGGGGATGGTGGAGGAGAAATGGGAGGAGGGAAAGGGGGAGGAGGACGGAGCATAAGGATGACAAACAAGGATGAGGAGGAGGAATAGGAGATGCCTTAATTCGCTTGCGTGAATAGGCCGCTCTTGGACCACTCTTGGATCGATCTCTTGACCTTGAGACTTCTTGGGCAATCTTGGATCGCGTGATATCTTGGACAAGCTTGGGCAATCTTGGGTCGCGTGATATCCATGCCTGCATGTTGAGGCATCGCGTGATATTGGGACATATCCGTGGACATCTTGAAGTATATATGAGCCCTTCTTGGAACCACCGTCCAGGCAAACCACTCCCCCAAGGGGGTGAAGGGCGTAGAAGAGAACGCATTCTAGACATGTGCCCTAACGGGATGGTGGTCTACCAGAAACTGTCTCGATATATATGCCCGCAGTCCAGTGCGACCATGGTGATGAGCATTTGCATCACGATGCAGTTACCTTGAAGCTTCTGTTTGAGCTGAATGCTACTAAGAAGGTGTGGGTCGAATGTACGCCAACGGGACTTGAGTACATACGGGTTGCATCTATCGCAGCAGCGGTTTCATGCAGTCAGGAGGCAACACATCGCTTGCGGTCAGCACCAGCAGGGGTGGAAGGTGTGAAATGCGACAAACGTCGCAGGACGGTGTTCATGGTGGTCGACGGCAAGCGTCTGCAGGAGCGAGTGGACGATTGGACTCCCACGTACATCAACAACGCAGCCCAATCCCTTCGTGATCGCTTAGATAACGAGGCACGTGATGAGGCTGAAGCTGATGGGTCCGAGGAGTACTATGACCCGCCAGTCGCGGCAGGCGATGGCTCGCCACCAGGCGATGGCTCGCCACCAGGCGATGGCTCGCCACCAGGCGATGGTTCGCCAGGCGATGGTTCGCCGCCAGGTGATGGTTCGCCAGGCGATGGTTCGCCACCAGGTGATGGGCCGCCCTCTGTTTTCACTCGCCGACGAGAGATGCGCCAGACGACGCTTAGCTTCCAGTAGCTCCACTCCCTCTTCGCCTTCCCACCTCCCCTTCCCTCACCCTCCAATCTCTATTCTATTTTTGCCTCGCGTGCTCAGTCCGAATCTGGCCCCGCTGGCGGCGGGGACTCAGTAACAGAACTCAGTTCAAGATGCGGAG